GCACACCGACAACAGAAAACAGGTCAGCAGTCGCAGCAGGAACAAGGGCAGAGGGAAGGAAGTGTTGCGAGTGGACAGGACACTTTGATAGTAATAGAGGTATTCGATGCTTGCTTAGACTTCACAGGTAGGTGTGCGTGTGTTTCAAACACATCCAATTGTACACTTTAAATATGTGAAGTTTATTGTATATACAATCTACCTCAAGAAAGCCTTAAAAAAGAAAAGAATGTCGTACCAGACTAAGTAAATGAAGCACGAAATGAAAAGCAAATTGAGCTGGGAGGTGTATAAGAATTGAGAGGAAGCTGTCGCCACCCCTGGCAACCCCTTAAACCCAGAGAAGCTTCTCACAGAGTGAGACAATGCTCCACGGGGTAAGATATCTCAAGAGCCCCTCAGTTCCTCCTCTGCCGGTGTATAGTGGTACCTGAGATTATCACCAGGGTTATCACTCCTGCAGGGACCCTGGAGACAGGGGCATTTAAATTGAGTGTGTGCATCGGGTTAGCTCATTAGCTAAAGGCTTGCTAGATTTACACCACTGGCTTCCAACCTTCCCCTCAGGAACCCGAAATTATACCCCAGGGAGATTCTGGGACTCTAAGGTTCAGAGGTAGCTCATATTTTTAAAAGTGATGAGTCTTTCATGTCAATATAATTACTAAAACTCCCAAGTAGCTCTTAAGCCTTGGGCTGCACCTCCCCTTCCCCTAATTCCTCTGTTCCCAAGACCTCTGCGCTGCTCCAAACAATGGTCCAGCAGCCCCGAGAGCCGAGAGATGCTTTTGACTCCGCTGAATGTGACTCCGCTGAATGTCGCCCACAGCCACACAGCTGACTTTTCCTTTCCGTTGATTCTTTCTCCTTCCCCAATAATCCATATCCTTTATTCTACTCTGACTTTTCTAACTCCAGAACTAATGGCACTTAAATGACTCCTCTAACAGTCTTCGTGAATCCTTAGAAATGCTACTTTCCATCTGGGTATTGTGGTTCATGCCAGCACTCAGGAGGTGGAGGCAGAAGGATGGAGTTCAAGGCTTAGGCTTCAGATTTGTGGCCAGGCTGAACTACATGAAACCCTTCCTCAGAGAGAGAGAGAGAGAGAGAGAGAGAGAGAGAGAGAGAG